ATTGCTATTAGGTGTATTACGGTAGCACCTAGGCACCCCAGTCAGAGGACAGGACCCCATTGTGCCAAGCGCTGTACATTTTTATTGCTATTAGGTGTATTATGGTAGCACCTAGGAGCCCCAATTATGGGCCAGGACCCCAATGTGCCAGGCGCTATACAAATACGGAGCAAAAAGATGATCCTGAGTATAAGACAGGCGACACCAGGTGGACACAGACAGGCAGGAGATAGCAATTTCCCAAGCTGCGGCTTTTCGTGGGGGCTTTGGTCCCAGCTTGGCTTTCCCATCCACTGGGTTATTTCGAGCACGCAGTTGTCCCCTCGTCCCCCTCCCCCGGAACTGAGTTGTCATCTTTGCAAACCCAGGCAGGCGGTGGCCAGCTCTGGAAATGGAGTCACTTCGCTGGGGCGCGGAGCGTGTACAAGAAAGCCTTTGCGATGGCGAGCTAATCCCATCGGCACCGAAAGCATTGGCACCGCCGGTGCCCGGCCCAAGTGAGCTGCATAGTAAATTTGTTCTCTCTCTGTCTCTCTCTTCTCTTCTCAGTCTCTGGACGGGTTTGTGTTTGCACTAAACCAAGAGGGGAAGTTTCTTTACATCTCCGAGACGGTGTCTATTTACCTCGGGCTCTCGCAGGTAGGAGCGATGCGAGCTGTGTGCTAACATGAATAATGGATACGCGCTGGAAATAAATTCCAATCAGGTGGCCAGACCGTGCGGCGGCTTAAAATGCATGAGCAACGTGACCTGGTGGGCTGCCGTGAGAATCACAAGGCGACGCACTACCAGGTCCGGTGCATCAGAGGCTGGAAAGGTGCCTCCCATTTCACCGCTGAGCATCGGTGTTACGCCCAGCAATCCGGCTCCCATTGAGGCCAGTGGCAAATCTCTCGTTAAGTTCAGTGAGAGCAAGATCCAGGCTGTGACTGTCTAATGGAAACAGACAGGATCGAGGTGGTCTAATGGGTAGGGCACAAGGCTGGGAGTCAGGACTCCTGGGGTTGGGGTTGGAGCACAGGATTAGTGGCCAGGACTCCTGGGTTCTTATTCCTGGGGTTGGTAGCCAGGATCTACTGAGTTCTGTTCCTAGCTCTGAGAAGGGAGTGGAGTCTAGTGGTGGGGCAGGTGGTTGTGGAGGCAGAACTCTTCCGCTGACTTTATCCAGTGACTGTGGGCTGCTCTATGCCTCAGTTTCCCCATCTGTGAAATGGGGATAATGATACCGACCTCCTTTGAAACATGCTTTGAGGTCTGCAGCTGGAAAGTGCTGAGTAGTCAGATTAGCTTAAGGTCTGAATTGTCTTGTATTGGGGGCTGGATGTGCTAATGGGCTCCCGCTGGTCAAAGCCAGGGGAGGCCTAGATGTAGAGGGGTTTGCTCCAGGGTGATCAGATGTCTCCGGTTCCCCCACCCTGCAGAGGGATCCTTGGGGCATGTAACCAGTCTGGGTGTCTGATGGGAACTACAGCGGGTCAGAAAATCATTTTCTGCCCCGGGAGAATGTTGAGGTTTCTATTTATTTTTTTCCCATCCCACATCGGGAGGAAAAGCCAAAATTTAGAACTTTTTCGTGAAATGAAGTTCCTTCCCCCTCCCCAACTTTCATGTTGGGCCAATCAAAGCATTTCATTTTGATTTTACATATATATAAAAGACAGCAAATTTTGAAATGACAAGTCAGTTTCTATAGGAAAAATCAAAACTTTTCATGGGCGGTTTTTTTATATGATTTTGAAAAATATTTCCGTTTTGTTGAAACAGCCCCCCCATGGGGCAGATTGGGGGCATGGCTGGAGTGCATTGCACTGTGGCTCTTCTCTGCCTCCCCCCCCTCCCCCAGGTCCCAGAGGGGGTGGATCGGGGGTGTGGCTGGAGTGCACTGCGCTTTCGCTATTCTCTGCCCCCCAGGCTCAATGGGGAGCAGAACATGAGTTAGAGCAGCCCTGAGGCTGCTCTAGGAGACACTGGGGGCCAGGCACAGAATATGGGGAGCACAAAGGGGGCTTAAAGCCACCTCCCCCTACCCTTGTCCCCAAGTGCAGAGATGGAATAACTCAGCATCAGGCCCAAAGCCTTTTGGGCAGGGATAGGTACAACCTACACTCTTTAGACCCGGCCCAGGTTCAGGTCCAGACGTCCCCAGATCCATGGGTTTGGTTCAGCCCCATCTCTGCGTTCAGGGGTAAGGATCTTCTCCTAGCAGCCAGAAGCAGAACCCCCTTCCATCCCTGGCCAAACCTGATAATACTCACCCCGCCCTTCACCTTGATCTGGCCCCTCTACGAACCCAATGGAGACAGACCACACGATGCAAATCAGCTCTTGGGGGGCTTAGGGCTCATCCAGGACTCCCCCCGATCCGCCCGGGCCCTCCGCCATGCAGATGCCATTTTAGCACCAAGTCTCTTTGCACAAAAGAGGCAGAAGTTTCTCCCACCACGTCCCCAGCGGAGCCAGGACACACATGGGAACAGCCTTGCCGCGGATCCTTAGCAAACTCCGGGGCTTTGTCTTAGCTGAGTTTCACCTGCACTACTAGAAAACCTTGGGGCCACCTCCCCTTCTCCTTGTCTGTCTCTTGGCCCTCGCAGCATGAATAATTAATAGCAGCAATTATCTCGGCAACAAATGAGGGCTCTCTTACACGTGTTGTGTTGCCGTATGACTGATGATTGTGTTAAAGGCTGGAGTGACGACGGCTGGTGTGGGGGGTGGGGGGGAGTGGAGCACCCAGACAAAGGGGCACTGAACTGAGCCACCTTTGTATAAATGCCCTGGTGAATTCTCAGTGATGGACTTCAAGTACCCACAACACGCGCGCACACACACACACACACACTCTCACACAGCAGGGCTCATCCCTTCCAGCAGAGGGCAGCAGGAACACACACACCCCTTCCAGCAGGGGGTGACAGACAGACACAGAAGGACTCGGCCCCTCCAGCAGGGGGCAGCGCGCGTGCACGCACACACACACACACACACACACACACACACACACACACACAGAGCAGGGCTCAGCCCTTCCAGCAAAGGGCAGCAGGGCCCCACTCAGAGAGAGCAGGGCCCACCCCCTCCAGTAGGGGGCAGCAGAGACAGACACACACACACACACACACACACACACACATCGAAAATGCTTCAGATCTGTCAGTTACTTTGCTCTCTCTGGTTCCAGGCTGCCCTGCAGGGTAAGGGGCAGGGGCTCAGATCTGGGTTCAGTTCCCCGCGTCGCCCCAGATATGCTGCGTGAACTCAGGCTGCTCCGTCAGCGTCAAGGGGCCTTAATGTGGTGGAATTCCACGTGGTGCGGGGGGGCCGCACCGGGAAGGGCCCAGTGCCCAGCCCCCTGGTGTAGGGTGTGGATTGGGGGCAAGGCCGGAGTTCACTGAACTATTTTCTGCCCCTCGTGGCCCATGGGGGGTGGATCAGGAGCATGACTGGGATGGACTGTGTTGTGACTATTCTCTGTCTACCCTGAGCCATCAGGGCAGCCCAGCAAACAAGCCAGGACTCCTGGGTTCTCATCCCAGCTCTAGGAGCGGAAGTGGATTTAATGGTTTGACTGGGGGAACGGGGGGGAGCTGAGAGTCAAAACTCCTGGATTCTATCCCCTATTCTGACCCCACAGACACCCCTTCTGCATGCCTCAGTTTCCTCTCCTGTAAAATGGGATAACTGGGTGGGTTGACTGTGTGATTAAATACCCGTGATGCGCTTTGAGATCTTAACGGTGACGTCTGACCATTAACCCCAACTGGAGCCAAGTATCTGGAAAGCCGACCCCCACACCCGGTCCCCCAACCCATGCACAGCCCAAACACCTCACGCTGTCTCACACTCCCTTCAATAATGCAGCACGGAGTTCTGTAGCCCCCATTTTTCTTTCCCTTTCAGTTCTAATCGCTGTAGGGGAAACGTGGAGTTGAAAGGCAGAGCCCGGGCTCAGAGCCCTGCGCTGAGCAAAGGAAAGGATCAATCCATCGATCGGGCTGGCTGCAGGCTCCCACCGCTGCCCCCTGGCACCTCCCCCCAGCTCTGTGCCTTTCCCATTGTTCTCTTGTTGTCAAGATGAAGAACAGAGAAACTTCAAAGATGTTCTTCGGCTCCTTTCTTCTGCTTTGGAACAATAGATCCTGTCAGACAGAGCCAGTCAGACCAGTGTCCGGCCCGACTTATTGCATTCTGCTGGGCTCCGGAGAGTACATCCCTCCTGGCCTTAGTATGGGGGGAGCGCTCAGTCCCCAGCCGGGATGCAGCAAACATAACTTGGTTCAGTGTCCGGGGGAGGAAAGGATTGCAGCTGGGGAAACAGCCCCTGATGGGGAAACTGAGGCACGGGGTGGGGCGATCACCCAAGGTCGTCCAGCGAACAAGAGATGGGGATAGAACCCAGGCGCCTTGCCTGTTAGTTCTCCCTCGTCCCTCACCATTACAGGTGCTGTGAGTCCTGGCTGCCAGGCCCTCCTGCTCTGCCTACTACACAACAGTCCCCACCGTGACTTGGAAATAAAACCCAGGAAGCGTGACTCCCAGCCCCCTCTGCTCTCACCACTAGGCACTCCCCCCAACCCCCGGAGTTGGGCACAGAACCCCGATCGCCCCGCCCTCTGCTCTAACCACTAGACCCCACTCCTGCCCCAGAGTTGGGCACAGAACCCGCATGGTCCTGACTCTCAGCCACCACCACCACCACCCCGCTCTAACCACTAGATTTCACTTCCATCCCGGAGCTGGCAAGAGAACCCATCACGGGGTTATGCTGATGGCTCAGGGCAGGAAGAGGACGGTGGGGGCCGTGGCAAGCTGACCGGTTACCTGGTGCCAGCGCTGCCTCGTTACCAGCTGCTAAATTGCATTCGCTGCTCTCCCAGGATCGCTTTGCCATGGGAGGGGCCATGCGCAAGGGGACCAGGGGCTGTTCCCATCAGTGCTGGGGTCCACTGCATGGGGCGTGGGAGACTAAACGAATCCCACAGATCCCCAAGTATATTCCCCCTCTGCTCCCTCTCCCGCACCTGGGCCCCTACTCAGCCACCGATGATCCAGGAGCTTTGCCCTGTCCATGATAGTGGGGCCTCCTCCCGGTCTCCCCTGGGGTGCTCCTTCTCCAGGGGGGTGGGGGAAACAGGGGGCACCTGGGTTGGGGAGATCCACCTAGCCTTTGTAGCTCCTGGCCGGGGTAAGGGAGACAGCATCTTGCAGCAGTGCCCTGTGCAGGGATAGGGCCTCCTCTCCCGGGTGAGCAGCTCCAGCCATGTTCCCTGGCAGCTCCCGCTGGAGGTGAGTTTAGCGCAGCAGGGCGCCTGTGTGCGGGGAAAGCCCCTGTGGTGGGATTCTGCCTTGGAAAGCAACCACCACCTGGACACTGGGCTCTTCGTCTCTTCTTGGCCTGGCTGTCATGCAGTTATTGCTGTTGCAGTTGCCATGTGGCTACATTTCAGTGCTGGGTGAGCGATGCCTGTATAAACAGCTGCCACCCCC